CTCTCTGTGCCGCTTTTCCTTCTCTTCCTGTCGCTTGGGCCCCCGTCTGGCGTCCGCCGCGGCTCGCTTGCCCCCTCTCTGCCTCGCTTCTGTGTGTCGTTCAGCCGGAGTTTGGCGCCGACAGGGCGACTTCCCCGCGCTGCTACAGTACACATGGCCGTACAGCCGTTGCTGCCTATCGCTGCGTCGTGTTTCCCACACGCTGGTGCGGCTTCTCCACGCTGGCCGCAGTTGCCGCTGCACGAAGCGGCGTGGCGCCTCTACCCGCCGGGTTGACGGTGACGGTCTACGGTGCTCAATTCGGGTCATTTTGTCCCTTGCATCACCTCTACTGAGGGTCCTTTTGTCCCTTGCACGTGCACTCGCCTCTGCGGCTTTCGCGCCGGTTTGGCCAAGTATCTGCTGTCTGAGCCCCAGTCGTTAATCCCGCTTCATGACCTCTGTCCTGGAGCCGCCAAGCAAAAAGTAACCCCACCAGCCCATCCAGAAATGATGCCCAGACGATTTGCCCTGATAAGGGATGTGGAGGCGCATGCAGTGGAGCAGCGGACGGGGTAAGACCCCATACCCCAAAAGGGGGCGGATGGAGGAGGAATCCGAGGAGGAGGAGGAGGAGGAGGAGGAGACCGAGGAGGAAGAGGAGGAGGAGAAGGAGGAGGAGGAGGAGGAGGAGGAGGAGGAGGAGGAGGAGGAGGAGGAGGCGGAGGAGGAGGAGGAGGAGGATAATGATTAGGAGGACAAAGAAAATTACGAATCATAGAAGCCTCCTAGGATGTCTTTTGGGAGTTGTTTTGGAGGCCTCTTGGATCGTCAGGGGGCTTCTTGGGTGCCTCGGGGATCCTCTTGAGGCCTCTGGGGGGTCTCTTGGAGGCCTCTTGGAAGCGTTTTGGGCGCTTCTTGGGGCCGTCTGGGTGCCTCTTGGGGCCCTCTTGGGGCGCTCTTGTGATTCTTTAGGGACACTCTCGGGGCCATCTAGGAGGAGATCGATCAAAGGAGAGGGTTCCCTAATTACGCCCCCCCCCTCCCCCCCTCCTCGGGAGCCCCCAACATAGCCTCCCGGACCACTCTTGGGGCGCTCTTGGAGCGCTCTTGGGCGCTCTTGGGGCCGTCTTGAGACTCTCTTGGGCCCCTCTTGGGGCCCTCTTGGGCCATCTTGGAGCCATCTTGATGCCTCGGACGTCCATCGGAAACGACAGGCGAGAAGGCAAACATCATTGATGGTCCTTAGGTTTTGAAGTGATTTGGCTTCTTGGAGGCCTCATTGGAGGTCTCGGAGGCCTCTTGGAGCCGTCTTGGGGCGGTCTTGGAGCCTCTTGGAACATCTTGGAAGCCATCTTGAGGCATCTTGCGCTATCTTGAACCATCTCGGAGTTCATCTTGGGCTCTCTGAGCCCCTCTTGGAGCCGTCTTGGCCTCTCCACGAAGGGGAAGAAGCGTGTTGGAAAAGGGAACTCCCTAGACCACCTACGCCCAGAGGGCTGGTGGGATTAGACCTCGCCATCCCTGGGGGGCTGCGATTTGCGAAACCGTCGCCACTTTCGAGGGCTGCTGGGGGGGGACAGCATAGTTGGTAGCCGCCGCAGACCCAAATCAGACCTCGTCATCCCTGGGGGGGGCTGCGATTTGCGAAGCCGTCGCCACTTTCGAGGGCTGCTGGGGGGGGAGCATCGTGGGTAGCCGACGCAGGTTCAAATTAGACCTCGCTATCCCTGGGGGGCTGCGATTTGTCAAACTGTCGCCACTTTCGAGGGCTGTCGGGGGGCGGGGGGTGGGGCAGCACAGCATAGTGGGTAGCCGCCGCAGACCCAAATTTGACCTCGCCATCCCTGTGGGGCTGCAATTTGCGAAAACGTCGCCACTTTCGAGGGCTGCTTGGGGGGCCAGCATGTGGGTAGCCGCCGCATACCCAAATGAGACCTCGCCATCACGGGGGGCTGCGATTTGCGAAACCGTCGCCACTTTCGAGGGCTGCTGCGGGGCGGGGCCAGCATAGTGGGTAGCCGCCGCAGATCCAAATTAGACCTCGCCATCCCTGGGGGGGCTGCGATTTGTGACATTGTCGCCGCTTTCGAGGGCTGCTTGGGGGGGGCAGCATAGTGGATGGTAGCCGCCGCGGACCCACATTCGACTTTGCCATCCCTGTGGGGGCTGCGATCTGCGAAACTGTCGCCACTTTCGAAGGCTGCCCTGGGGCCAGAATAGTGGGTAGCCGCCGCAGATCCAAATTAGACCTCGCCATTCCTGGGGGGGGCTGTGATCTGCGAAACCGTCGCCCCTTTCGAGGGCTGCTGGGGGGGACGGCATAGTGGGTAGCCGCCGCAGATCCAAATTGGACCTCGCCATCCCTGGGGGGGCTGCGATTTGCGAACCTGGTGCCACTTTCGAGGGCTGCTTAGGGGGCCAGCTATAGTGGCTTGGGGGGCCAGCATAGCGATCTGCCAACCTGTCACCACTTTCGAGGGCTGCCGGTGTGTCCAGCGGAGTGAGGCACCGCGCAGATCTGAGCGAGATTCGCCGTCCCTGTGGGGCTGCGATCTGCGAAACCGTCGCCACTTTCAAGGGCTGCCGGCGGGTCCAGCGGAATGAGGCACCGCGCAGATCTGAGCGGGACCTCGCCGTGCTTGGGGGCTGCGATCTGCGAAACAATCGCTACTTTCGAAGGCTGGTAGCGGGTCCAGCGGAGTGAGGCACCACGCAGATTTGAGCGGGACCTCGCCATCCCTGGGGGGCTGCGAGCCTCACGAATGCTGCCCGCAGAAGTATATGCGCCCATGTCACGTCATTACCTCCGTATAACGTCTCCCAAGCTACTCATGCCCCGCATTGCGCAGGGGGTGGGTACCTCGCCAGGGTAATTTTTTCATCCTACAACCGTAACCCACCTCCAGCCGCGACACCCGAAGCACAGCATTTTCCACCTTTCTCGACTGGGGAGCTCACCAAAGCAATCTCGCAGCTCAAGGGCGGCAAAGCACCCGACACCCACGGAATTAGGGCTGAAATGCTTCAACAACCAGGCCCAGAGCTCTAGCACAGCCGACTACTGTGCAACAGACGACCATCGATTCTGGACCGACAGCAGCCTGACGACCAAGCCGGCTTCCGACCTGGCCAGGGCACGCGCGACCACCTGTCGACTTTCAATATTTGGAGTGAGCGGACAGCGGAATCAGACTCTGGGCATCAGCCATAGATATTTCAAAGGCTTTCGACATAGTTGAACACGACAGCTTGTGGATAGCTTTACTTCACCAAGTTCCCTCTGCGTACATACATGGACCTGCTCCAGCGCGTGTACCAAGACTAGACAGCCGTGGTCCGCACTGACACCACGAGTAAATCATTCGACCTCCGACGCGGCACAAAGCAGGGGGACCCTTTGAGTTTATTATTGTTCAACGCACTACTCCAACACGTACTAGAACCGCTGATCACAGAGTGGCGAAGACGACGCCAAGGCGCCCAATTGGGCCACACCGAAGCGTCGACACCCAGTAACCTTCGGCTCGCAGACGACATCCTGCTGGCAAGTCAAACACAACCTAATCTAAAAACACTCCTTTCTGATCTTATCACCTCAGCCAAGCCGCACGGATTGGAATTCCACCCCAAAATCTTGACCAACCACCCTCGGCACCGCGTCAGGGTGTCCAGAGTACATATGTGGGGTTACAATCAACATATTGCCACGAACCAGCAGCATCACGCCGACGCCGCACCAAAAGGCAGGGACGGACCAAAATAACATCCACGACACCAGCAGCACCGCCCTGAACGACTCCAGCGAGTCCGACGTCTGCAGCAACCCACCCATCTACTAGCCAGGTGCGCGGGACGAGGTGAGCAATGACGAAGGCACACACCCAGGCTTTATTCAGGATGACGACGTCGAGTTTGGGTCCGACTTCATATGCAGGAGCATGCTGAGCACAATCACTGGTGCTGAAACATGACATACCTGATGTACTACATATCCACCGCCGAATCGTCTGGCGTTGGGCGATTACAGAACGCAGAATTGGAACCCAAATCTGAATACTCGACAGCGAGGACGCCTGCAACACGGAAGGCAATCAAAGAGATGGGAAGGCGGCATCCGGAAATACTTACACAGCTTGGGCGGGCAATACTGCGACGCCGACGCCGAGCGGGACCAGGTCTGGGCAGCGACTATGCCGAGACGGCACCAGCAAAACAACACAGACGACCTACAATGTTTATCGACGGCAGGGAGCAGTGTGTGGTGATTTGCACACGAACGTGCGTACATATCACATTCTCGAGGCCACGGCCTCCACGCCATACCGTAATGGGCACGGGCGGGCTCCCTCGCGGAGCGCGCACGACTCCAGCGCTCGTTCGGTCGTTCCTCATACGTGTGCCGTCAAGCTCTCCAGAAGCTCCCCCCCGACCCTCCAGAGCTCCCTCGAAGGACTTGTCCAGAAGCTTCTGCCGCCCCGCTAACCAGGGTTTGGATACCACAAGTTGTCGTCCTGCAGCCCGACAGCGGCCCCCAGGTGCCGAAAGGAAGAGAGGGCGCCGCGGCGAAAGAGGCCGTGCCCCCGGATGTCGAGGGTCGAGGGCCCAATGCGGAGCTCAGGGCACCTCCTGGGCCCAGGTCTGCCCGGCCCTGGCCCCCGAGCGGATGCTCGGGCGTCGCGCAATGGGGGGGCGATGAATGGGGGGGCAGCGAGGGTTGCGGGAAAGGGGCTCTTCAGGGTCCCTGCAGGGGCCCTTTCGGGCCCCAAAGGGGGCAGATAGGGCCCGGAAAGTGCAGCTTTCTCCCCCATCCATTTGTCGCCCCCCCATTACTCGACGCCCAAGATGCCCTTCTTCGAAAACGAGAAACGGTATAGATATAAACTTTCGACGCTCAGAGCGGATTTCTTGGATCTAGCGCGCCAGAGACGGGGTCCAGCGCCGATCCAGGAAATCTGCGCGGACCTCCAAAAGTTGATGTTTCTGTTATTTTTGTTCCGCTACTCCTCTTCGCTGCACAGGTGCTAGAGCTGAAGAAGTTCCTGGACAGCCATGGCCCGTCAGGGCGTACCCCGCTCGTGCAGAGAATAAAGGACTCCTCGGGGCAGGGGGGGGGCTCCCAAACTTCTGACGTCTTGACAAAACCTAGGCTTTTTTTGTCATTGTCGGCGTTTCGGATGGGCAACGGGACCGTTAAAAACCAGCCAGGACGAAAAACCGGTCCCCGGGCAGTGGCCCAGAGCTCCGGGGACCCCGAATCTGGACAAGTCAGTGCCATTCGAGGGTTTGGAGTTGTATGGGGACAGGGAGGGAGCATGGAGCATGGGGATGGGCCTGCCTCCAGAGAGAGGCGCGCCCGAAATGAAAGGAGGGGGAGGCGGGGAGGGCAGGGCAGGGAGGGGTGGCTTCTGCAGACGGCGGTGCCCGCGATCCTCCTCACCCTCTTCCTCCTCCTTCTCCTTCTCCTCCTCCTCCTCCTCCTCCTCCTCCTCCTCCTCCTCTTCCTTCCCCTCCTCCTCCTCCTCCCCGTCCTCCTCCCCATCCCCATCCTCCTCCTCCTCCTCCTCCTCCTCCTCCTCCTCCTCCTCCGCCTCGACCCCCCCCTCTGGCTGGCAGGACGTCCGGACCAGGCTGCTGAACAGGAAGTACCTCCGCGACCACGTCACGCTGACCATCGTGACCGACGGGCTGCCGACCCTCGGTGGCAGCCCCACGGAGGAGGACGCGTACGAGGTGGGGGAGGTCGAGAGGAACAGCTTCGTAGACGAGATCAAAACGTTTGCCTCGACGTTCAACGCGTCGATCATCATCAGGCTGCCTAGCTGCCTCGATACGACCGTGTTGAAGCGCAACACGTGCCGTGTTCAAAAAGTTTGTGCTGACACGCTGTGTGTTGGCCCAACGTATTGGCCCACGTTTTGGCGAAGGTATCGCGTTAGACCTACGTTTTCAGTCTACGTGTTGAGCTACGTATCAATACGCTACGTGATGCGTGTTGCGTATTGGGGCAGCTAAGTCAGGCTGGCGACCGACGACGCGGGCGTGATCGACTTTTACAACCAGATAGACGACGAGGTAGATCTGCCGCTGGACATCCTCGACGACGTGCAGGGCGAGTCTGCCGAGATCCACATGGCCTCCCGGCGGGGCCGAATGACATTCCAAGGTGCTGGATGCACATGACGTGGCCAGCCTCTCAGGAAAGGAGGTCTTAACCGTAAGCGGTGGGTTCCTAATCGTAAGCGGGGTACCAGACTAACGTACCAGACTAAAGTACCAGACTAAAGTACCAGACTAGAGCACCAGACTATAGTACCAGACTAAAGTACCATAATAAAGTACCAGACTACCGGTACCAGATTAGCGGTACCAGTCTAGCGGTACCAGACTAGCGGTACCAGACTAGCGGTGCCAGACTAGCGGTACCAGACTAAAGTACCAGACTTGCGGTGCGGGACTAGCTGTACCAGACCAAAGTACCAGACTAAATTACCAGGCCAAAGTACCATGCTAAAGTACCAGCCTAAAACACCAGACTACGGTACCGGACTAACCAGACTAAAGTACCAGCCTCATGTACCAGACTAATCAGACTAAAGTGCAAGACTAAAGTACCTGACTACAGTGCCAGAATCAAGTACCAGACTAAAGTACCAGACGAATGTAGCAGACTAGTGTGCCAGACTTACCAGACTTAAGTACCAGACTAATGTAGCATATTCAAGTACCAGAATGCATCATATCAATATACCAGACTAATCAGACGAAAGTGCCAGACTAAAGTACCAGACTAAAGTACCAGACTAAAGTACCAGGCTAATGTACCATACTGATGTACCCGACTAACATGCCAGACTCATTTACCACATTAGTGTACTAACATGCCAGACTCATTTACCACATTATTGGCGCTAGAGTAATGGCACCAGACTAATGGCACCAGACTAGCGGTACCAGACTAATGTACCAAACTGACCAGACAAACGTACCATATTATATAAACGAGACTAATGGCACCAGACTGACGGCACATTAGTCTGGTACCTTAGACTGGTATTATAGTCTGGTACATTAATCTAGTATTTCAGTATGGCGCAGTAGTCTGATACATTTGTCTGGTACCGCGCTTACGTTACCAGACTGATGTACCAGACTAAAGTACCAGACTAAAGTGCCAGACCAACGTACCAGACTCATGTACCATACCAGTGTACCAGATTAATGTGACTAAAGTACCAGACTACAGTACCAGACTAAAGTAGCAGACTAATTTGCAAGACTAACCAGACTAAAGTACCAGGCTCATGTACCAGACTAACCAGACTAAAGTGCCAGACTACTGTACCTGACTGACCAGACTAAAGTACCAGACTTGGTACCAGGCTAAAGCACCAGTCACATCATACTAAAGTGCCAGACTAATGAACCAGACTAAGGTACTTTGGTCTGGTACATTAGTCTGGTACTTTAGTCTGGTACTTTAGTCTGGTACGGTAGTCTGGTACTTTAGTCTGGTACCGCGCCTACGGTTAAGAACTACTTTCGTCTCTCACCGAGAGCCGGACTCACACGTGGCCGCGTATCTTGAGGCAGCGTTCGGCTCTCGCATGACTGGGAACCCCAGGTGTCCGCAAGCCCCGCAGTGAATCCAGCTCGCGGCCTCGCGCTTTTTCCCCTCCCCAGGGTAACGCTCGTTACCCGGCCCCCAGGGTAACGCTCGTTACCGGGGCCAACGCTCTCGCCCCTCCGTAGCCAGTGTGGCTCGAGCCATCTTGGCTGAGGTGGGAATTTCGTTTTGGCCCAGGCGGTTGCTGGCAGTTCGCAGAGGCCGCCCGCCCTGCGCGCCCTGAGAGCCGAGCTCCTCCCTTCGGCGCCGCTGTCCGACGACGAGCTTCCGCCCGCGGGCGGCATGGGCGGCATGGGCGACTTCGACGACGACGACGCCATGGGTGGGCCCCTGCGACGCGGAGCTCCCTGAGGGCATCGCGAAGGAGGTCATCACGGACGCGCCGGCGGGCAATTACAAGAAGCCCAAGAAGGGCGACCTGGTCTCCGTGCACCAGTCCGACGTCACCGAGTTCGACTCTTCCAGGGGCCGCGGGAAGCCGTTCGAGTTGACCCTGGGCCAGGGCCAGGCGATCAAGGGGTGGGACCTGGGCGTGGCGACCATGAAGAAGGAGGAGGTTGCCAAGTTCACGCTGGCGCCCGAGTTTACCACGGGGCGAGCGGCAGCCCGCCCAAGTTCCTGGAGAGCGCCAAGCTGGTATTCGAGGTGGAGCTGCTCGGCTGGCAGTCCAAGGACGACCTGTTCGGGGACGAGGGGGTGATCAAGACGCAGCTGAAAGGGGGCGAGGGCTGGAAGAAGCCGCAGGTGGACAACGAGGTGCTCATGAGTATGAGGGTAGGGGCGCCGAGTGGCTCGGTCATCGAGAAAAAATCGGACTTCGAGCACGTCTTTGGCACGGAGGCCTTGGGGGCCTTGGGCAAGGCGTGCGGCAGGGCCCTCACGGAGATGAAAAAGGGCGAGGAAGCCTCCCTCCCTCGGGGACAAGACGCTGGACAGCGCCACGGTGTCCCTCGTGCTGAAGCAGGTCTACGACGCCGCCGACGTGTCCTTTGCAAACAAGACCGTCATGAAGAAGCAGGTCGGGGAGGGCGAGGGCTACGACAAGCCGAAGGATTGCTCGAGTGTGAAACTCGCCGTCGCGGCCGCCACGGACGGCTCCGCCGCCCTGCCTGGCTTCGCCCCCGGGGCGCTGGAGTTCACCGCGGGCAATGGCGAGGTGTGCGACGCGCTCGAGTGCGCCGCCGCGGAGATGAAGAGGGGGGGAGAAGGCCGTGCTGGCTGTCGCAGCCACCTCGCTGGCGGAGGAGGCGCAGCTGGGCCTGAAAGGCGTGGCCGCCGACCCGGTGGTGCTCAGCCTCGAGATGACGGAATTCGAGAAGGCCGAGGACACCCGGAGCATGTCCGAGGAGGAGAAGATCGAGTACGGGGCGGTCCGCAAGGAGAAGGGCTCCGAACTGTTCAAGGCCGGCGGGCTGCAGAGGGCCCTCCAACGCTACAAGCAGGTGGGCGACAGCTACATCGGCAACTTAAAAGAAGGGGACAAGGAGAAGGCCAAATAATTAAAGAAGGCCTGCGAGCTGAACCAGGCCGCCGTGGCCCTGAAGCTCAAGAATTTTTCAGACGCCAAGGAGGCACGCGAGGCCGTGCTGAAGGGCGACGGCATGAACGTGAAAGCCACCGTCCGACGCGCACAGGCGGAGTATGGCCTTATGAAGTACATAGATTGAAGCATGGATTGCAGGGAGGTCGTCGAGCTCGATGCGAAAAACAGAGAAGCCAGGCAGCTGCTGAAAAAGGCGCAGGCGGGCCAGAAGGAGGAGGACATGAAGTTCAAAGGCCTGTTTGCGAACATGTGCAAGGCCATCGGCAAGGGCCCCATTTAGGAGCCGTGCAAGGAAGAGAGCATGGAAAACATTGGCGACGAGGA